TACTCGTTCACCCACCGCTAGCGGAACCACTTGTCCCGCTCTGCCTTCGATCTCATTTATCGTGCTCTACCAACTGTCGCCCAGCGGATAAGAAATTCTTGGCAGATAATATTGCCGTTAAAGACAAGATTTTATTTACTCGTCTGCAGCGGCTTTTGCACGATGATTTGCTATCTCTGTATGACACACTGATCAGGTGCTGGGCTCATCACTGTATGCCTCGATTTTTAACATTTTGCGCAAACATGAAGGTTACCATTTCATTAGAAATTTGTGAGTGAACGCTAAAGAAATCCTAGCTTAACTAAGATTCAAATATAACTCGCGATCGGCTTACGTGCCCGTAGAATGATATCGACTACTTCTTTATTATAGAGGACGAAATATATAAACAAAAAGAAAAACCTATCGTCAGCCATCAGATTGAATATTTCGATTAGCACTTATGCGAATGAACGGTGGATTGACATTATCAAAAAAAACAAGCGGAATCGAGTGGCCATTTTGTCTTGTTTGACCGTTATATCTAACCTCACTGGTGCAACTACTGCGGTATGAACCGACGTTTTCTTAGGTAAAAGTCTACTGACCTAGTCAGTGAGCCGATGTTTCGTCGTCCTTTCGATCTAACATTCGAAGGAGGCAGACGGTTCAGGCCGGGGTCTTAACTTCCAGCGGGAATAATGCAACAAGAAAAGGATGACTACGGCCCATAAAAGAACACTTATGAAAGCTTATGTATATTATCAAGTTTGTTTCACGGAATTATCGGTAGCACACATTCTGTGTCAATAAAAGTTACGGAAATTTCGAATACTCGTTAGGAATTCCCATGATCTCAGGACTTTGCCCACTGAAATTGACCTTTATTTAAAAGAAGTTAAGAATCGAAGTAATAAGATATCAGCAAGGGTATGCATATAATAGATTATTCAAGGATGATGGATTGCATTGGCGGATAACAGAAGTAAAACGATTTCAAGAAAAGGCGTCCTTTTCTTTAAATTACATTTTTGGGATACCTGCCTTCCAGTTAATACAAAAGAGGTAAAACGACTTATGACTCAAACTTGATGAAAATTCAAATTCGAAGCGAAATTTACTTCACTCTGTGCTAAACATGTAGTGATTTCCTAGGCACGCCATGCATGAGGTCACGTGATAGCAAGCCTCGATCTACATTTAGGACAGCCGCATTCCGCACGTGAAAGCTTGTCTGGCGCGGCCTTCTCACATGCGTGCACTGGTTTACCTACTCTCATTCTGACCAATCAGTTTCAAGGCCAATTCATAAAGGACCTCACTGCGACGACTGCCTACGCTCTCACCACATAGGACCGGCACCCGTGGGGTCTGACAGTAAGCTTCCTCCAGTCTCTTTCCCTTCCTTCTGTACAGAATAAAGCTCTCCTACCAAACCGGTCTCCCATTTATTCTCTTCTCCTTAGAAAGCGGACCCAAAGATTGCAGTGCCAAGTGTTTTCCTTATGAACTCAATCCCCTGCGATAAACACACCTGGCGAGCCGATGGACTGAGAGGGACATCAGGAAGGTTTTACATGATGCGATTAACTTGCGTAACACCCTGCTCTGTACAGTACACATGACGTCTATTTTTTCTCACGTGCTCTATTTCAGAAAAATGGTGATTCTAGACCGCAAACCAAAAAGGACGCTTAATAAATAGGCTGACGTTCTATGGAGCAAGCATCGTAAGTAGGCAATTAACCACCAAGAGTCGTTGAACTACGCTGAAAGAAGGTGCTGTGGAGTATAATTTTGGAATTAAAATATGAATCTTTAGGGAATAAAAAAACAGAAGTAAAATACATATAAACATAATTTACCTTTAATAATGGTGTCCCATAACGTATCATGCGTTAATAGACTTGTTGTCAATACTCACTTTATAATTTATGGAAGAATGACAAAAAATGAATTATACGCCTGGCCGCCTATGCGTTGGCCGTAACTGTGTTAGGCAGGTGTTCTTTCTTTAAAGGTTTTTCATGTGTATGAAGAGGACAGATGAGCAGTGACATTAGACACGCTATGTTTCAATGCTTAAGAGCTGATTATCATGGCGGCATTCAGACGAGATCTCACTGGGCTCCATATAGCAGGCATCGCAAGTAGGCAGTAAAACACCGAAGATCCTTGAACTACGCTGAAAGCAGCTACCATGGAGTATAATTTTGGAGTTAAAATGTGATTCTTTAAGGAACAGAAAGGCAGAAGTAACATAAAAAAAACATAATATTTCGATAACGTTGCCTCATAGCTTCCCATGCCTTCCATAATTTACGGAGGTATGACAATAAAAATGACCGATACGCGTGGCCGTCGAAAAGCCCGTTTCTAAGGCAAAACTAGGCAGGACAGGTGCTCCTTCTTGACAATTTTCATTGGATGTAAAATGAGGACAGAGGAGCAGAATCTTTGGACAAACTCACCAGAATTGAAAAGCTTGACGCTACTGTTAGATGACCGGGAGCTGATCATCATGGCGACATTCGGGCAACTAGGACATTGGATTGTGAGCTTCTACTGGACTAATTATAGGTCATTCGCAAAGACATGGACCAGTATAGTTACTTTATTAGAACCAAACCCCACCACTATAGTGACTGGTTCAGTAATAGGCAATATCGTAGTCTTTTTCATGGTATTGGTCGAGGAAAAGGGATCCTTTAAGTGTTCATTAGTCATAGGCAGATTTGCTGTCGCCAAACTCCAGGTGCAGGTTTCAACACGGAGTCTCTCGCGACTTCTTGAACGTGTGTACCAATGACGGCCAGTCCAACATGTCATAACCGGCCAATCACCCACGAAACTGACTCACATATGAAGTCACAGGAGACGTTTTGACGGCTCGTCATAGACACACACTAGAGACACCACTTTCTTTCGGCGTCTAACTCCTACCAACCTATTGTCTACTAGTTCTATACAGAATAGACAATTGCTCCCAGCTGGCGTCGCACTTCCTCTCTTCACACACGGCACCAGGCCTATACCTGTTGAAGGGTAGGGTCTCCCTCACAACTAAAGTCACAGTGATTTATTTGTATCTCGTTATTAAACAGCGACTTTTGTACGAATCCCTGTAGATGCTCCAAGGACTTCGCACCTACACTGATGGTCCGGTGTTCAGAATAAGTAAGCTTTGGGGCTGCTCGTGCTTTTATAGGACAGTTTTCCCAGACTGTTGTGGCACGTCTTTTAAAGAAGGTTGTTGAGTTTGACAATAAAGTTGAAATAACAAAGACTGTAAAAAGCTGTTAACGAAGAGTTGTTTAAAATAGCTCCGGCAGATGAAAAGGGAACCAAAGCTAATCTGCGGCTCAAAAGTGTGATGTACTGAAGTTGGGGAGTACGACAAGAAAGTCATGTATGTATAGCATGAAGTGAGGATTATCCTCCTGGAGATAGTGAAATACTAAACAAGTGCTGATCCCAAAGAGTGAGTAGGCCTCATTCTTGTCTTGAATTCGGGGAAAATCAGTAAAAAAATGACCTTCCGATCAAACAGTATTCAGAAGGGAGGGGGTTGGTTCGGGAGATTTGTATGATTCACTTGATCCAGTTGTGGGATTTGAAGACCCGCGAGCAAGGCGAAGGCTCTAGTTCAGCCAGAGCTCTGGCTAAGTGAGCTAACAGCACCACTCTAGAGGCGTTGAGTTTAGTCAACAACAAAAAATCAAAAGTCAAACATCTTTGAGAATTGAGGAATAGCTGAAAACATTTGTTTGCCAAGAGGCCTTCTCAATCGTAAAATGAGAGTAGTTGCAAAACTTTGAGATCGCAGAATGTCGCTCATTGGGTTGGAAGGTTTTCAACGACATCAAGCAAGGATCTGATACGCTTACTCAACGTTTTACTACACCACGATAGCTACGAATTCGAATTCGACGTAAATGGTGTGCAAAGGTTTGCATTTGTGAAGTCGGCGAAGTTTGGGTTGGAGTTTACATTTCAAAGGTTTTAGGGATAATGCTTTGCTATTAGTTTAGGGTTGTGAGAATGCAGTTAGAAATTTAGATGAATAGTTAGAAAGTGGAATAAAATTTCAGATTTAGTTTTGGAGCTAAGAATTGGGGTGTTGGATTCAGGGATAGAGTTTACGAATTTCGAACGATATACTGTCTACTTACCATATTTTGATTTGCACGCTCTTTTTATTGCATCGTTTTGGGGCATTCAGACAACGTAAGGAGTTAATTCACTGTTCTTCGTATGTCTTTTTCACCGTCGTTGGTCTTCCTTAATCCATTCCTCCGCAAAGTCTCTTTTAAACAAAAAATCCATATATCAGGGGACATTGGACTGGGTTTGCTCTTAGAACTTACATTTTAAAAATAGCCACTAACATAAAGTTTCAGAAAGTATTACATGTGGCAACGATTGTTCTGTGAGCTCGTTTGATCTGAAGTAGACAAATAATGTTCAGTTTTCGAGGAACTTCTTGTATTCACAGGCATTTCGGCAAACTCCTTGTGTAAGAAACTAGAACCGCACAGAGCAACAGCCCACAATGACGCATTTCATAGAACAGTCCTGTCATTGCTTTTTTTTACTCATCATATAATGCTTAATTTGGCGAAATAAACTACGCAGGCTATTTCAAATGCTTTTACTAACTGTCTTCGGAACGTCACTGAACGGGTAGCTTTAAGTAAAAGAACCTGTGCTAAAATGTACAACTGGTTCCACAGCACGTCGTGCACGCTATCGCACCGCTGGTGCTCTTTTATTGGTCCCCAGCAGAACGGGGGAAATATAGGGCACGTGATTGGTCAGCACGAGCGGACCAATGAGCTACTACAACCATGAAAAGTTGAATTGCTGTCTTGCGCGTGTGAATTTCGCCCTTATTTAACTGGCCCACTTGCCTGCGATGCCAGGCGTCTTCTCCTAGCGGAGGCGGACTTCGTAACTCCCGAGACTCATTAAAGCATTCCGCAGTGTTCGTGGTTTACAAAGGTTTCGCAGTTTTTGAAATGCGTGCAGAATGCGCCTCCTCGAGGCATTGGAGTGCATGCGGCTGTGAAAATGGCCAAGACCGCGAGGACAGCGGGAGCAGGATTTGCCTCTGTGCTGCCTCACCGCAGACAATGCAGCGCGTCCCTTTGACCAACCGTAATCGGTCTCCCAATAGTCCTGAGACCCCAAAAGACGAAGATTTTACCAATCATGTGCCCTCCGACTCCTCCCAAATGGACATCCTAAAGGGCTGCAAGGTCCCCAACAGGTATCCGCCGAACCCACAGACTAAAAGACATGATTTCTGCTCGCCGGGATTGCGCTCTAGGTCCCACTTTCCCTCCAGTCGATTCCTCTACCTATGGTCTGGTTGGATAAGTCTCGTCAGCTTGTACAATGTGTGGATTATCATCTACAGGTATGCCTTTGACGAGCTACACCGAAGCACAATCAAAGTGTGGTTTCCGCTGGACTATACCGCTGATGTCTTCTACATACTGGACATTCTCCTGGGTCTACGGACACCGTTCCTGCAGGACGGTATGCTTCAGCGAGATCCCCAAAAGACCCGAAAACACTACATGAATTCCACGCGTTTCTACATTGATTGTCTGTGCCTGCTACCGCTCGACTTTTTGTACCTTTCCATAGGATTCAACTCGCTGGTTCGAATATTTCGCACAGTAAAGTGTTACCGCATCTGGGATTTTGTATATAGGGCTGAGCGAATTGTCAGACGATCGAGTTTACTGCACGTCTCTTCGTGGGTACTATTCAACCTTCTTTTTATACACTGGAATGCCTGTCTTTATCGGTGCATAATGAAGGCTTTTGGTGTGCAAATAGACCTACGAGGGGGCTCAACCGGGTACCCGACCCAGCATGGAGAGGGTACGGGTGTATCCTTAAATGACACAGTGAGTGCACAACAGTGCGCCTTTGCTAGTTACTTGCATTCCCTCTTTTGGAGTCTGCGTTGTATGGCCATGCTTCACCCGCTGCCTGCAAATGGCGACTTCAGCGACTTCCTTTATGGTTACTTTGTCCTCGAGGCCCTGATCGGTATTCTCCTGCTTGCGCTTCTTTACGGAAAATTGAACAATGCGATTGGGAACTACGACGCGACTCAGAACGAATTTCAGGGTAAGTGCCGCCCAGATTTTACGATGAAGCTTAGCTTAGCGTTTACTCAGTAACCTGACCTCATATTCGTGATCCACGCAGGATGCACTTAACTACCCAATCCGGGTCTCTCTATAGGCATGAAGACATTTTGCA